GCGTTAACCCGCGCCGTTATAAGTTCTCGATTGAGCCACTGTTTGTCAACCGTTTGCTATTCAAGCTGAAATATAAATGCAATTTTTGATCACATCATATCTGGAAGCTAGCAATCTCAATTAAAGTATTAACTTAGTTTAGAAATGTCACTGCGAACCTGTGAATCCCTGTGGCGGTTGACCTGGTACTGAGTATTGTGGTCTGAAATTCCCGAAATTGGCCGCACCGGCAAACGTGGCTGGCAACTGTCCACCAGAAAAGCCTGCTGGAAACTGTTGCGCCAGTAGAGCTGCTTGACCGGACTGAGAACTGCTTCCGCCTGGCGCGGTTGCCGCCAGTCGGCTCAATATCGACCTCTCCGACATTTGAAGTCTTTGAGCTACAGGCGGAATGCGAGCTAACGTGGCTGGCAAACGGCTCACGTCAGACTTCATGTCGGACAGCAGTTCTTCCAATTGATTTAGTACCTACAATGAAAATGATGATAGACAAACATATCGAAAAGGAGACGATTAGCTTTCATCAATATATATATATATTACTTTATGCAATACAGCGTTCGCTGGTTTGTTCCCAGCAAGACTTTCTTTACTAAGGTGTTGATGTGACTCTGCAAGGCACTCAACTTCGGCAAATCTTGCATTCAGGCTCATCGCAGGATGGTTCGGATCCTGCGTTAAATTCAGGTACGCTGCTCTTCTCAATTGTTCTTCTATCACTAATGCCTGTTCCAACAGTTTGAAACGCCGAGCTAGGAATTTATTTTTTATTTCCAGAAAGTTACCCTTGCCAACGTCCATCTTGAATGGTTCGTTTATTATCGCAAACCTGTGAAACAATATATATTAATAACGTATGTTTTATTGCTAAGAGCCGTGTTTTTATGGTTAAAAATTTTCAAGTTTCAATATTCTGATGAAACAAGAATCTTTTTTTCTATGAAACAAGGATTTTTTAAAACTCGGGAATTTAAAATATTATTCGTTTTAGATAATTATGTGAACGAGTGCTATGTGCTGAAATCAAAATTCTGAAAATCAAAGTGAAGCTAATCCTTTTGATTATTAATTATAGAACGGTGAATAAAGAGTTCAAATTATTGTTTTACGCACATCAATAAGCGTGTTTCGATTTATTTAATCGTATTTTAAGAGTATTTTAATACAAGCAGAATACTGTTTATAACAATTCGAACTTTGAGAATGATTTTTGGAAAATGATTAAGAGTAACTAACATCAGACTTGTATTAGATGAAAGTTTAAATTATTAAGAGAAGCACATAAATTTTAAATATAACTTCTTGCAACGTTTAAATAGACACGGATTTTAAAAAGTAGAAGCTCGTGAAGCTAACGTTAAGACGAATTCAATGACCTATCACGCCTAAGTCCATAAAATTTATGAAATAACGCTGAAATAATTCTGGCCACGAAAACGCGGTCTTTGGACCATTATGGATAGTTTCTGTTACCTGATGTCATTCTGAATGTCTTGCCAACGGCCATAACCATGCGTAACGATACCAGCCAATAGCCAATAGTCGTGTCTTCGATGCCAGATCTCATATTCACGACCAGGTACTGCAGCTTTTTCTTCATTTAACCACAGTGTGTGCAATTCGGTAAAACCACCATCGGCTATATTGAACATGAACTTGCGTTTAGGCTTTATAGTCTCGGAGTCGCAATCTTTTATGTCCTTATCTTTGCTGTCTTTCTCCTGTAACGTGAAGTTAAAAATCTTGTCAATTGTGTTAAGTAAATTATTCAATTGTTACTGTAAAGGCAGCCGAATTAGCAAGTACCTCTCGTTTTTCAGTTTCTTCCTCGTCGTCTTTAACGATAACAACATCCTCTTCGGAATCTTGTTTCGCTTTGCTTTCAGAATTGTCCATCTTCTCGTCGTGTTTTGTCACTGATTTTTCATCTCTAACATCAGTTTTATCCTTCTCTTTATCCAATGTTTCTGTCTCTGTATCCTTCTCTTCCTTCTTCACGTCTTCTTTCTCTTTATCTTTTTCCGTATTACTTTCCTCTTCCTCCTTAGAGTCCTTTGGTTCTTCCTTCACGTCCTTCGTATCGACGCTCTGCAAAATAATCTTTCTTTTACCACAAGTCGATTCGAGATTTGCTTAAATTTTCGTGATCAAATGCACCGACTTCTTTATCTTTTGGCTCTTCCTTGCATTCTTTCACTTCCGCCACGTCTGAATTCGATTTGTTAGAGTCAGTATTTGTGCTCCCGGTGGCTGCAATTGGAGTCGGAGTTGCAGCAGGACTCGGGCTAGGTGCGTTGGAAGTAGCTGGCGTTGCACTGGTGCTGCTGGTTCCAGTTGCTCCGTCTCCACCGCCATCCACTTTCACGGGTTCCACTGGCTTTCGAATCATCTCGGGCATCGAGTAGTATCCGTTTATGTGTTCGAATTCTTGCACCTATCAAAGAGAAAGGAATCATCAAAAGAGAGAAAAAGAAAAGAGAATCGATCAAGATCGAAGACTTCGAATCGAAAGACTTTACCTTTTTCCTTATCAAAGACATTACACCAATTCTTGTTAAAACATGCTGTCTGCTAAGACCTTCTCTCGGAACACCGTCAGCGAATGTTTCAGCGTTATCCGCGCCTGGTTCGCACAAGTGTCGCATAAACAGGGAAACATAGGCCTTGAAATTCTTTTCCGACTTTCCTCTCAAGTCTCGTACCAGCCTGAAACGCGATAATACGTTTTACTATTACATTAAATTTGGAATTAAATACATTAAATACCGTGGAATACATTTTCAGCACTAACCATTGAGAGTTAAACGCATCCTGTGGTGGCATACCATAACGCATGATCGCATTCAAGAATGCTTTCCTTTGTCTAGCATTGAAACCTAACACCTGAATTAAAAACAATTGTATCGAAGTATATACATATGTTTTTCGTAAATTTTTAAATATAAAAAAAAAATTATACAAACGTACTTCAATATTTCCATTAACTCTAGCGAGCAATGGAGGAAGAGGTCGATCCTTTTCATCTCTCCTCTCTAATCTTCGTCTGCTTCTGCGAGACAACAAATCACCGTCACCCTTTTCATCGAAATCATCATCTTCTTTATCATCGTCGCTAGGAGCACTGAAATCGCTGTTGTAATCAGAAAGATTCTCCTGCCATGGTTGGTCGTCCCTCGTGTTCTGGTCTCCAGTCACTCCTCCATCGTTATAGTTCACTTGCTTACGTATTCGCTTACCTAATGACAATTATTGCTTTTTAGGGATACGTATACGGAAAAAGAAATCAATTACTTTTCCAAAAAACACGTACCTTTTCCAAGCGTTCTGGCAATGTCTTCCTGTTGCTGTTCGTAGTGATGTCTCAGTAGTTTGATCCAGTAAGCCGGATCTGTATTTTCAGCTTCCTGTTTGATAATCTCTGTATCCGCTTCCTCTTCCGTTTCACCTTCCTTTGTTACGTACGACGCCACTTTGAACGAACTCAAATACTCGTTTGCCCAATTTTCTTTCTGCTCGATACCTTCCTTGCTTCTGTCTAGCAGTTCAGCCACAGCCTTATCATCATAGTGGATAGCTTCGTCTTCTTTGCCTTCTTCCTCTTTGAACAACTCCTCAGTACCTAATACAAATTAACATTACAGACACGCTCTCTCTAATCTTAAACTCTATTCGATGATTGTCAATCGCCAACATCATTACCGAATCGCAAGATGTCGTCGAGTTCCTGTTTGCTGAAGTTGGCGCCTTTACCACCCATGCCGGGTCTCACAACCAAATGTGTTAGCATCATCTTACGTTTCGCTACTTGCGTAACTCGTTCCTCGA